AGCTTGAAATAACTTTCTTTGGTTTGCCTTGTGGCCTTCAGTGGTAGTAGCATCACAACTTGAATCTTTGTTTCTCTAAACCGCTGTTGTATTACAGGATTATAGTGCTGTTTAGATGGATACCGCTCCTTCTTCATAATATCTCGTCTAATTCATGAAAGATTTCCACAAACACGCCACGATGTTCTTCGCACAACAACACTGATCTAACACTACCATGTCAATGAAAACTATGACTATTTTTTTTTCTCAGAAATCGCGCAATTTTCCGTACTTTTGTTATTCATTCCGCAAATTTAGATTCTCTGTAACTCAAGTCTTCCTTGCGTGATCGACATGAAAATAAATTTCCATGTGTGGAATTTAATAAAGTTTAAGACACTCACAAAATTATTTGCATCGCTTTGCTTGTTTTGATTTTTTGTCGTAGAACGTTGATTCAGAACAGTTTTGTCCAGCGTACAACGGAGAGAACTTTAAAATGTCCTTAAATACAATTGCAAAGATCCTTGTCTTTTTGCAGGTGTTTGCTGAGAATAACTTTGGAAAAGGAGACGCTGGTGTGAAGAAGTTTACACTTCGAAACGGTTTGACTGCCAGACGTTGCTATAAGTACAGTGATGTTTTATAGCCTACTAGATACATGTATTTCTACGCTTTTGAAGCCGTTTTCAACAAATCGTTGCAAAAATACGGATCAAACCTTCGATACATTCTGATGGAATGGGCATTGGTCGTCCAAGTAAAATGAAGGGCTACTACAATCTAAAATTGCCTTTAACCACACTTACATTCACTTTATTTCCATTTCCTGAAGAAATTAATTAATTAGATAATTAACTGATTGTAATTACTCCTATATGCCACAGGAAAGATCCGACCTGAATGCAATGAAATGTTTGAATTAAGTGAACTAATTGTTTCATCGTTAAATCCCCTTTCGGCCAGTCTATCGTTCAGTTAGGGAAGGAGAGAAAACATTTTCGGTTTAGACCATTTTGACTTTTGAGCGGAGGGAGGGGGTGTGGATGTTGGTGATTTTGAAATTAATATATTCTGCAACCTCGCTTGTACCAAAAAAAAAATGTACACGACCACTGCCGAGAGAAATTCAAGCACATTTAGTGAGCCGGAGAAAAGCACGTTACCCACGTTGCGAGAAAAGATTTCTTAGTGCATGAAAGGACCCCACCACCACCCGCTCTGAAGTCAAGTGATCCACCCTTACTGTCTAAGCAAGTAACACACTGTTCGAATACCGTGATTAAATGTAATTATGTTTATTTAGGTGGAACCTCAGATAAGATGATAATTGTTCTTGGTGCTGGAGGTGGAGCCTTGGTGATAGTTATTCTTGTAATAATTATCATCGTTGTTTTACTTAGAAGGTGAGTCTGATGGATGAATAATACAATCTCCCGATTGATGGCATTTAATTTTGTTTCTTTTGCAAACCCTTTGCTTTCTGGTGCAAATGAAAGTTGATATGAAGTTGAGTTGTAAGAATACTTTAGATATTACTCTGAATATTGTTTAGGCGCCTACCTCCCAACCTTTTTTATAATGATTAATTTATCTCTATTTTCTCTTTATTTAGAAGAGGTCATAGGAGTATAGAAAAAGACTACATGCGCACCATTGAGCAAGGTACTTCCACATCACTACTGCCTTATTAAATATCATAAACAAGGTACATGAGCCACCTTTACAACTGAAAAAAAATATTACTCTAGGAGCAAATTAACTGGTCCAAGAAATAAGGAATGAATGAATGAATGAAT